ATTAGAGAATATAATCAAATTGTTTTCCAAAAGAATTATATTGATTTATAACCTCACCAGCAATATACTAGAACTTTTTAACTTCAGATGTATTAGCATTGAAAATTATCTTGTTGAAAACCACTGCTTATTATAGATGAAAAATTGTAACTGTTTTTGGATTACTTTTAACAAATGGCCATTAATAATATTATAGCTGATTTTGTTAGTTGTGGCTACTGGGAAAACAATGTTTTTGAAAGTCCAAATTTATAGCCTATATGAAACAATCATATTTTAGGAAGTGATTTTTTTGTCTCGTTTCCTTATCTGATAAGTGAGCAGGGAATCACAGATGGGATATTGGCAGTCAAATGAATCCAACTTCCACCTACTGTAGGAATCCTTTCTATGATACCCCTGACAAAGGCTCTCCTAGTCTTGAACACTCCCAATAATGATAAACTCGCTGTTGGGTGGTTCTTCAGATAATAAGACTTTCCCTGTAACTGAGATAATATCTAAGAAATTGCTTTGATAAAATTAAAAGGATGTTCTGTAAATTCAAAATTTTTCTAATTCATAGATCAGATTAATCTACTACTTGTTTTTTTTAAAATAGTGCCCGACTATCATGACATGATCTTCCATTTAAGTAGTACTTTCTTATTTTAAAGATACTTTTTCATACTTCAGTCATGTTTAGTGATTTTAACAAGAGTTTTAGTATTCTGGTATACTCTGCACTTTTTGTTATTCATTTATTTAAAAAATATTTTATTTGTTTATTTATTAGAGAGAGAGAGCATGGAGGGGCAGACAGGGAGGGAGAGGGACAAGCAGGCTTTGTGCTGAGGGCGGAGCCCAAGACCGGGCTAGATCTCAGGACCCTGAGATCATGATCTGAGCTGAAATCAAGAGTCCGCTGCTCAACTGACTGAGCCACCCAGGTGCCCCATTATGTGCTTTTTAAACCAAAACCCTAGGATCATTGTCAAAATTCCGTTATTCTGGTATTTTTTAAAAATCTAAAGTATTTATATCTTGAAATAAATATCTATAATTCATCTACTTAATTTATGAAAAAAAGGTCTATAAGTCCTTACTTATTGTGCACATAACAAAAAAGAAACCACAGTGTTATTGATAAGATTCTGTTACATGGATAGTTTTTAGTCCAAAATAAAGAATTTCTTGTCCAGTAGAATACAAGTATCATGGTACTAAAATTGAAATCGATAACTCTGCTTTGGAATGTCTAGCCACACATGATAAAACTAATGAAGATGATGAAACCAGAAATAATTGCTTTGAAACAAAATTTACATAGCACTTTATAAATTTAAAAAATCTAATCTTAATCAAAAATCAAAAGGTGTTTTATAAATATCTCCACAAGGTTATCAAGCAAGAGATGAAATTATTCAAAAGAAGTCAAGGAAATATTGGGAAGCAGACCTTAATCCTCATTATTTTTCTGACTAGTGTAGTATCTGAAAGTTTTTTAGTTGGAAAATTATGCTCAAAATTATGCTCTTCACCCAACAATAGCACCAAATGATGATGCATCTTAATTTTTAAGATCACATCTTCTGAATAACATTTCATTAAAATTTATCTGCTAATAAAATATTAGCATGTTTAACATTTTTTTTTAGTAACAACTTTATTGAGGTACAAATCATATAACATGCACTAACTCATTTAAAGTGCTCACCACAGAGTTGTGCAACCATCACCACAATTAATTTTAGAACATTTTCATTACACCCCAAAAAGAAACCTTGTACACATTAAGTCATTTCCCATCACGCACCCTTCCCCCAGCCCCACCAGCCTCTGGCAAGTACTACTAACCTACTTTTTGTCTGTACGGATTTGCCTCTTCTGGACTTTTCATATAAATGGAATTATATAATATATGATCTCTTGTGACTGGCTTCTTTCATTTAGAATATTTTCAAGGTCCATCCAAGTTGTAGCATATGTCAGTACTTCATTCTTTCTAATTGCTGAGTAATATCCCATTGTTTGGATATACCACATTCTGTTTGTCCATTCATCAGTTGATGGACATTTGGGTTGTTTCAATTTTTTAGCTATTATAAATAATGGTGCTATAAACATCTGTATACACATTTGTGTGTGTGTGTGTGTGTTTAAGATTTTATTTATTTATTTGAAAAAGAGAGAGACAGAGCACAACCAGAGGGAGAGGGAGAAGCAGACTCCCTGCTGAGCAGGGAGCCTGACATGGGGCTCGATCCCATATTAAGCATCTGAGCCAAAGGCAGACGCTTAACCAACTGAGCCACCCAGGCGCCCCCTGTATACACATTTTTATATAGACATAGGTTTTCATTACATAGACCTATTATGTAGACATAGGTTTCATCTAGGATATATACCTAGGAAGTGGAATTGCTGGGTCATATGGTAACTTTGTTTCAAAGTGGCTATGCCATTTTACATTCCCACCAGCAGTATATGAGGGCTCCAATTTCTCCATATCCTTGTTTTTACTCACCATCATCTGCCTTTTTTTATAGCAACATTTGTTTTTATAAATGATACTGATATTTTGTAATATATTTAGAACATTAAAATTTTGAAATATAGGGGCGCCTGGGTGGCTCAGTTGGTTAAGCGACTGCCTTCGGCTCAGGTCATGATCCTGGAGTCCTGGGATTGAGTCCCGCATTGGGCTCCCTGCTTGGCAGGGAGTCTGCTTCTCCCTCTGACCCTCTTCCCTCTCGTGCTCTCTGTCTCTCATTCTCTCTTTCTCAAATAAATAAATAAAATCTTTAAGAAAAAAAAATTTTTTGAAATATATTAAGTATTGTTTACTGATATTTTGCTTTATGAATTCTAAACTCTTTTCAAAAAACACTGATATTTATACATATTTCAGTGTTAAAGTTAAAACCCCAAGCTATCATTTTTGCACTAGTTATTTCAATAAATAATTACATTTTCTTATAAAACTTCACATGATACATTATCTTTAAAGCTCAGAATTAGGTAAAACTTTTTCTCTACTTGTATCTTCCTTCTACAAAACAAATGAGAGCTGTATAATTCATTCCTTCTTTGTGATGATTGCTAGAAAGCTTAAAAGCTAGAGCTTTTCTTAGTTGGGAATTCTTACAAAACATTAACTTTTATCTGTTATCTTATGACCACTGTTTTTATACCTCTACATTTAGTAAAAGCTAACACAATCTTTTTTAGAAATAGGGCTTAAAAAAGTAAACAAATAAATACACAGTATCCTTGATCTGCACAGAAATTTATTCCCAATTCTATAAATGATGAAAGTGAGGCAATGAAAAGTGACTTACTCAATGTCAGAAGCTTAGAAGTGGCAACGCTGGTAGTAGAACTTAGAGAGTCCCCCATATCAGTTCTTTATGCTACCCTCTCCCTCTGTTTAAGACAGGCCTTTTCTGTCATTGTAAAGTATCCCAGAGTAGCTCCTGCAGAGCTGTTACTTAAACATGACAGAGTCCCCATAGTAAGATATTCAACTAATATCCCATCCTAGTGATGGAGATAAATTTAAATATTCCAAATCCAATCCTTACAATGGCTTGCTCTGTATGATAGAAATAAATTTATTTTTCAGTGATGACTCTGTGATTATAAATATTATGAAAATTTAAGTCATCAGTTTGCTGCTAATGCTAAGAAAGATTGTATAAGATTTAAAAATCTAATATTTGTTTAATAATATGGGTCACCGTGTCTGATCTCCGTAGTTAGCTTAAGAACAGGGGAGATGGGGCGCTTGTGTGGCTCAGTTGGTTAAGTGTCTACCTTTGGCTCAAGTCATGATCCTAGAGTCCCAGGATCAAGCCCCGCATTGGGTTCCCTGCTCAGCAAGGGATCTGCTTCTCCCTCTGTCCCTTACCCCTCTCTCACTCTCTCTCTCAAATAAATTAAATAAAATCTTAAAAAAAAAAAAGAACAGGGGAGATATTTCCAAATAGTTCCCATTTGGAATAATTTGTAGAAAGTTATTTTATGTTTTTCTGTATACTTTATAAAGCCACATACAAGAATTATTTGTCTATATGAAATTTATGAATTCTTCCTTAGAAAAAGAAAGTGAATATCTATAAAAGTTATTATAGAAATGCATTTAGTATTCATTACTGTTGATACTGAATAGAAGTTAAGTTTTAGTTCCAGATATAAGGTGAGAACACCATTAGCTGGAAACTAAGTTAGCTATGAGTTATTTCTGGAAATATAAAGTCCAATAATTTTACTTATTAAGTTGGGCAAATAAATCATAGGTATGTTCCAAACCTAGATAATAGTTACAAAACAACCTAAACATAAATAGAAAAATTCGGTAAATTATATCAAACCCTTCTCTCCTCACTCTATCTCCACACTGAGACTTAAGTATTGTGAACACTGCAATGTTTGGTCTAAAGAATTAGGCCATCACTATGAATTAAGAAACATCATAAAATGATTTAAATCACTATATGCTAAGTAGTAGGACCTTGTAGTCGAATAAATATTGGTTTTCTAGCAAAGTACAAACCTTAGAAGTTATATCATTTGCCTCCATCATTTTACAGATGTGGGAAATAAAGATGAGATGAAGGAACCTGCCCAAGACCTCCTAAGTTCAGGGCAGGGTGGAAATTATAACCAAGCTGATTACTGATTGAAGGCTATTTCCATAACACCATGATAGTTCAAATCAAAACCCATCTGATTTGTAGCTTTGTTTAAACCATAAGTTTAAAAGACCTGAACATAATATGGCCTATAAGAGCAAAATGTTTTGACAAATTCACATTTTTAGCTGACAGTCAACAGCTGACAGAAACCAAATATAATAGCACTATTACTATCAGCACAGATTATGGATATATTATTAAAAGTAAGTGTAATAATGCCAACCTTCAGACTTTCTAGGATATTTTTAAAATCATAAGCAATGCTATTAGATATTGTAGGATCACTTAAAAAATTACTTTCATACAGACAAAGGGACAAACTTCTGGAAGAGGAGCTAAAGAGAAGTTCGATAGCTCTTTCTTGTCTACTTCATTCCCTGAAAATGTGTTCCACATTAACTTCACAAGTTGAATATTATAGATGAAAAGAGGGAAGAAATAGAAATCCACCCAGTTCTAGAATTATAGATTGAGTTTTGGAAGATGGGTTGATCTCGTAATCTTTTTTACTGGTCCTCTCTTGGCATTCATTGTCTTCTGATTAACTGGATTATATCTTCCCCTGAAATAAAAGAAGTTTTAATCATTATTTTTTAGTCATCATTGTGTACAACAAAAACATCATATGCTTATTGTACCATCCTAAACAGCCATATATTATACCATATTATCTCATTACAGATAGAGAGGAAACCAACTCAAGGGCAAATAATCCAAAGGCCAGGAAGGAGTCCATGAAGTGGCCTAATGTAAAAAGCTCTGACCAAAGAGGGATGAGATAGACCATTCTGATACTGCCTCTGGAAATGTGAATTAAAGCTAAGAAAATAGAGAGAAGCCACAAAGTAGGGCAGAAAGAATAAAGAAATAAGGATCCATGAGTAAGCCAAAGTATGTTACCTAAAATTATAATAAAATTGAAACTAAGACATACCAAGGTCTGTGATATTAAAAAGATATAAAGAGTGATGATGGCAGTTGGTAATGAGAAGAAAAGTGAAGTAGAGACTGAACTAGTTGAAGTAAAAACAGCAACATTTTTAAAGCACATAATTTATATCAGGAACTGTTCTAAATCCTATTTATTAACTGATTCATATCAACCTCACAAAATCCCTATGATGTATGTACTATTATTAGCCCTGTTAAATAGATGAGGAAAAACAAGGTTATACACTTAGTAAGTGGATCTAGAATTTGAATCCAGAAAGGCTGAGTTCAAAGTCTATGCCTTTAACTACTTTTCTGTATGGCAGACCACTAAAGTGAAGAACTATGAAGTTCTGCTCAGACTTTAAAGCTTCCTTGAACTCTAGTTTTAATATCTGTGGGCTTAGTTATATTGGAATTCCTGTTCTTGGATTTCCATGGGACCATCTTTCCTTTATTGATTTATATATCTTTGTAAAGCCAACTTCCCCACACTCTTACTTAAGAGTAGAGTCAGCTTCAATTCCCTGCAAGGGGTTTTTCAAAAATATTTTACTCAGGGAATGATGTCAGGAAAAATGACAGAATGATTTTTAGAAAATTCTTTCCTCTATAAAAGCAATGGAAAAATTGGCAAAAATGGTCAGAAGCAACTTTTTCAGAGCTCTGGAAATTAACCAAGGACTTGGAGCAATCCTGGAGAATTTATTAAACACATTACACACCACACCCACACCCCAACACACACAGAGCTGAAACTCAGCAAAAACACTGACCTTTGTAGCATTTTAACTTGCCCTAGCCCTCTTTCCCCAGCTTTGTGGTATTCCTATGAAGAAATTGAAAAACTGACCCTAAAATTCATATGGGAATTAAAGGGACTCTGAATAACCGACACAATCTTGAAAAAGAAGAATTAGGGGCACCTAATTCACTCAGTTGAGCAGCTGCCTTCAGCTCAGGTCATGATCCCAGGGTCCTGGGATTGAGCCCAGCATAGGGTTCCCTGCTCAGTGGGGAGCCTGCTTCTCCCTCTCCCTCTGTCTCCTAGCTCATGCTCTTATTCTCTATCTCAAATAAATAAAATCTTTAAAAAAAAAAAAAAGGAGAAGAAGAAGAAAAGGAATAATTAAGTTGGAGTAATCACACTTACTTCAAAACTTAGTGAAAACCTAGTCATCAAGACAGCATGGCACTGGCATAAGGACAGACTTATAAATCAATGGAGTAGAACTGAGAGTCTAGAAATAAACTCGTATGTTTATGGATGATTTTTTAAAAGGGTGCAAGGACAATCAAATGGGGAAGAATAGTCTCTAGAACAAATGGTGCTAGGACAATGGGATAGACACGTGCAAAAGACTGAAACTGGATCCCAGTCTCACACTATACAAAAATTGACTCAAAAATGAATCAATGGTGACTAATATAACATAATAAAATAAAATTTAAAAAAATAAATAAAAGCAATCATAAAAAAATGAATCAAAAAGGACCTAAAACTATAAAACTCTTAGAAGAAAACATATGTATAAATCTTTGTGCTCTTGGATTAGGCAAAAAATCCTAGGAAGCCAAGGTCAACTGGCCTTCATCCAAATCAAAACTTTTGTGCCTCAAAGGACATCATCAAGAAAGAAAAAATAACAACAAAGAATTTAGGAAAATATTTGCAAAACATGTATCTGATAAGGTCTAGTAACCAGAATATATAAGTACCCTTATAACAAAACAAGACAACAATCCAATTTAAAAATGGGCAAAAGGGGGCGCATAGGTGGCTCAGTAGGTTAAGCATCTCTCTTCAGCTCAGGTCATGATCCTAGGGTCCTGGGATGGAGCCCTGCTTTGGGCTCCCTGCTCAGTGGGGAGCCTGCTTCTCCCTCTCCCTCTGCTGCTCCCCCTGCTTGTGCTTGCTCTCTCTCTTTCTCTTTCTCAAATACATAAATAAAATCTTTAAAAAATGGGCAAAAGACTTGAACAGACATTTCTCCAAAGAAGATATACAAATGGCAAGCAAGTACACAAAAAGATGCTTAACATCATTAATCTTTGGGGAAGTACAAATCAAAACTACAATGAGATACCACTTCACAAGTACTGGGATGGCTAAAAAAAAATTTAAAAAAAGGACATAGCAGCAATGTCCACAATAGCCAAACTGTGGAAAGAGCCAAGATGTCCATCAACAGATGAATGGATAAAGAAGATGTGGTATTTGTACACAATGGAATATTATGCAGCCATCAAAAGGAATGAGATCTGGCCATTTGCAACGACATGGATGGAACTGGAGGGTGTTATGCTGAGCGAAGTAAGTCAATCAGAGAAAGACATGTATCATGACCTCACTGATATGAGGAATTCTTAATCTCAGGAAACAAACTGAGGGTTGCTAGAGTGGTGGGGGGGGTGGGAGGGATGGGGTGGCTGGGTGATAGACACTGGGGAGGGTATGTGCTATGGCGAGCGCTGTGAATTGTGCAAGACTGTTGAAGCACAGATCTGTACCTCTGAAACAAATAATGCAATATATGTTAAGAAAAAAAAAAGAAGAAGAAGATAGCAGGAGGGGGAGACGAACCATGAGAGATGATGGACTCTGAAAAACAAACTGAGGGTTCTGGGGGTGGGGGATGGGTTAGCCTGGTGATGGGTATTAAAGACGGCACGTTCTGCGTGGAGCACTGGGTGTTATGCACAAACAATGAATCATGGAACACTACATCCAAAACTAATGATGTAATGTATGGTGGTTAACATAACAATAAAAATTTTTTTAAAAAGGACAATAACAAATGTTGATAAAGATTTGGAGAAATTGGAACCCTCATACATTGCTAAAGGGAAAATAAAATGGTGCAGTCGCTCTGGAAAATAGTTTGGCAGTTCCTTAAAAAGATAAAACAGTTATCAATTGACTCAGCAATTCTATTCCAAGGCATATATCCAACAGAATTAAAAACATATATGCACAAAAACTTGTGTAAGAATGTTCATAGCAGCATTATTCATAATGGTCAAAAGGTGTAAACAACCTAAATGTCCACCAACTGATTAATGGACAAACAAAATGTGACAGATCCAAGAACTGGAATATTATTCAGCCACAGAAAGTAATAAGGTACTGATATATGCTCCTACATGAAGAACCTTGAAAAATTATGCTAAGTGACAAAGTCAGGCACATAAGGCCACATATTATTTGTTTCCATTTATATGAAATAATAAGAATAAATAAATATATAGAGACAGAAAGTAGATTAGCAATTGCCAGGGGCAAGGGGGAGGGAGGAATGGAGAGTGAATGCTAATGGATAAAGGGGTTTTGGAGGGAGATGAAAATGTTCTTTAAGCACATAGCGGTGATGGTTGTGCAACTTTGTGAATATACCAAAAAGCAATGAGTTTCGCTTTAAAAGGGTAAATTTTTGATAACAACATGTGGAAGAATGAAACTGGACCACTTTCTTACACCATACACAAAAATAAATTCAAAATGGACGAAAGACCTAAATGTGAGATGAGAAAACAAATGGAAACACTAAAGCAATTAGACACAAGTATCCCATAAATAATTACCTTGACTTCCTTTATACATCTAGTCCCAAATGAAGTTATCAAGGTTTAGGTTTTTTCTATGTTTATTTAAAATCTTCGTTGTTCTTCCCTTAGTAGAACCAATGGAACCTTATAAAAACAGTGCCATATCTTGAATGCCCTTTATGAGCTGGGTGCTTTATAAGTTGTGTTAAAAGTACACATATTCTTACAGAAAATACCAGAAAATATAAATACAAGTTATCCATAACTTATTACCCCACTATACTATTTTGAATTATAATTTTTAATTGCTACTATAGGTAAAAATTTTCCTGTGTCAATTATATATTTTCCTAGAATGTGATTTTTTTGTAACTTTATATACATCATCATAGTTAATTGAATTATTCCCTTAATGTTGGATATTTTGGTTGTATTTTCTCTACTCTAGCTGCTTCTCTTTTCAAAAGGGGGTTCCCTAAACAATCTGTCTCTTAATGAGTCCCAGAATCAATTTCCCTCAGGTCCTGTAATTCTAGGGCACTAAGGATTGCCTTATTTTCTTCTTTAGAGCTTTTAATCACTCTGAAACACTTCTAAGGAGAAAAAAAATGAGGATGTTCACACTAAAGGAAAAAAAATTATGGTTTTCTACGTTTATGAACCACTGCTTGTGGTATCAGCTTTTGAAGTCTTTGCTTGCAGGAATATGATTTTTTATAGTTAATACATGCCATAATCATAGTCATAAGGTTACCTATTAACTTAGCAACTTCCAAACCTCATCCTAAGGAGATGATTTCTCCTATTTATCTTAAAGATGATTATCTCTTATTTATCCTTTTAAGATTTTATTTTTAAGTCATCTGTACACCCAATGTGGGGTTTGAACTTACAACCCTGAGATCAAGAGTCGCAAGCTCCACTGACTGATCCAGCCAGGTGCCCCATATCCTTTTTTCAAATAAGTATATGTAAGGATCTCTAGAATACATCTTTTAATAGCAGTATAGATATCTTGTTCATTTTATGACTATGGTTTCACAAAGTAGGAATATATGCAATAGCTAATATTCAATATCCCTCTTTGAAAGATTTTTTTAATAGCATATCACAATCAAATGGGTATTTTCTTTCTTTTTTCTTCCTTTCTTTCTTTTCTTTCTAAGAGAAGGAGAAAGAGTGTGCATGTGAGCTGGGTGTGGGGAGGGGCGGAGGGAGCGGAGAGAGAGAATTTTAAGCAGGCTCCATGCCCAGTGCATAGCCCGATGCAGGGCTTGATCTCATGACGGTGAGATCATGACCTGAGCTGAAATCAAGAGTCGGACACTCAACCAACTGAGCCACCCAGGTACCCCATGTGGGTATTTTCTAATGCTCTCATTTATTCTGAACATAGGAAAACTCCATAAGTCAATATTTAACATTAGCATATGTAAGAATATCAACTAAAGCAAACATTAAATGCCACTAAAACTTAATTTCTAAAACACTGCCTTAAGTATAACATATATAGAAAAGTACACAAAATAGAGATGTAAGATTTGCTTTATAATAAAGCAAATACTCATGTAACACACCCAGGTCAACAAACAGAACATTGCCATCACATTGGAAGACCTTGTGCTCCTCCCAATTATCATTCCCCTTCTCCTTCCCCTTGGTAACCACTATCCTGTCTTCTGACAACACAGTTTAGTTGTGCCTGTCTTTGAACATCACATAAATAGAATCATATTATATGTATTCTTTTATTTCTGGCCTCTTTTCCACAAAACCGTTATAATTATCCATGATGTTGTGTGAACTGTAGTTTGTTTTTATTGTTGTATTATTCATATATATTTATAATATATTCATGTTACTATTAATAAATATATGAATATTTGTTTTTATATAAGAATAACATATATGTATGAATATATGTCTCTCAAAAAATTTTATCTGATCTACTACTGATAGATATTTGAATTCAGTTTATGGTTGTTATGAATAAAGCTGTTATGAACATTCTTGCACAGGTTTTTTTTGGTATAAATATATGCACCATTCTGTTAGGTACATAACTAAGAGTGTAACTGTTGGGTTATAGAGTAGGTGTATGATCAGCTAAATGTAGAAAGTAATACTAAACACTATTCCAAAGTGGTTGCATAAATTTACACTTCATATCTTTGACAACACTTGGAATCATCAATTTTAAAATTTGTGGTGGCCTCTCATAATTTTAACTTGCATTCCACTGAATAAGTAATGGTGTTGAGTCCATTGGCCATTTGGATATCCTCCTCTGTGAGGTACTTAACACTAAAACTTGGTTTAAAGACTAAAACTTGAATCAAAAAGTGTACCAAGTTCCAGAATTGAGGCAATAACTCAGAACAATACTTTAAAGTAGTACCAATTATATATACCTAATTTGGAAGGTTATATGTATATAGAAATGTTTCTATTATTTGAGTTATTTGGTCTATTAATATTTCCAGAAAGTGGAGAGGTTTTTTCCCATTTGTATGACCCTTTATTCACTCATGCATTCATTAAAAAATTAGTAAACACCTATTTATGCCAGGCACTGTATTCAACGTTAGGCTCTACCAAAGATGGAAGTGACAGTTACTGTATTCAACATTAGGCTCTACCAAAGATGGAAGTGACAGTTACTGTATTCAACATTAGGCTCTACCAAAGATGGAAGTGACATATCCAAGATCAAGCATGTGCAGTGCCAGAGGGCACAGACAAGCCTACTGAGCAGGTGGATGATGTGGTCTGGGATACCTGCTCAGTAATCTTGTGATGCACCAGCACCTCCAGCTCAGTTCAGACCTACGGCATGGAGGGCCCCAAAGAGAAACTGATCATCAGGATGATATAGCAGGGGGCAAAGAGGAATGGGTTTGGCATCCAGGTCATCTACTTGAGTGTCTTTTAGTACCACCTTGACCAATTTGACAGTTATGTGGATGAGAACCATTTATACATGGCCTAGAAAGGATATGACAGGGGGGCCTGGGTGGCTCAGCTGGTTAAGCGGCTGCCTTCAGCTCAGGTCATGGTCCCAGGGTCCCGGGATTGAGCCCCGCATCGGGCTCCCTGCTCAGCGGGGAGTCTGCTTCTCCCTCTCCCTCTGCCTGCTGCTTTGCCTACTTGTGCTCTCTCTCTGTCAAATAAATAAATAAAATCTTAAAAAAAAAGAAAAAAGAAAGGATATGACAAACTGGGTTCTGATTCTCAGGGTAGGTCACCCCATCAGAGGAAGAGAAAGTCCATACTTCATTCACTGATGAATCAGCTTGATACATGAGACTGCAGCTGCACTGTAGCCCTATTCTCTCTGCCCAAATCTATTTCCTTCCCTTCTCCTCGACGTACTCATTCTAAGAATGCTTAAGAGTAAACTTCCTACATGCTGATTTCCGTTTCAGAGTCTGCTCCCTGAGAGATCCAACCTACAACAGCATCAGTGGAAAACTAAACTGCCCTAATAGACCTATAGTATAGTGATATAGATGTGTATGTGTGTTAATACATGAGTAGAATGAGTTTTATTCGTATTTTCAAAATATTTCTCTATTATTTAAGAATATTTGAATAAAAGAGGTATTATCTTTCTAAAATATAATTGGAAGATAAATATAAAAATAAAAAAGAAATATTAATTGGCAGATAAATGGTAAAAATAAAAAAGAAATATGTAAGGTGACTGTGCAGAAAGAGTTACTATAGCAGGCCTGAAACTAGAAAGGCCTTCTTTCAAGGCTGGCCCCTGGCTGGTGTCTGGGAACTTAGTGGTAAAAAGTTCCCTACACTGATATAAAATTTTCCTTAAATGAAAAAGAATGGCTTACTGTACTTAACCTGTACAAATAATATGGTTTCTGTGAACATGTTTTCCTTCTGGAAGTCTGGAATTTGGTATGTGCTAAGCAGAGGGTACCTACACGACTGGCCCCCAGTAAAAAACATGGGCACTAAGTATCTGTTGAATTTCCCTGGAAGATCAAATTTCATGTGTTGTCACACATTGTTCCACGACCTACTGCTGGAGGAGCAAAGTGTGTCCTATGTGACCACACTAGAGGACTTTTAAAAGCTTGTGCCTAGTTTCCTCCAAACTTCACCCCATACACCTTTTTCCTTTGTTGAGTTTTCTTTGTATCCTTTGGCTGTAATACATCCCAGCTGTATGCACAAATATATGCTGAGTCTTGTGTGTTGTTCTAGCAAATCACTGAACATGGGACTGGTCTTGGGGCCCCCCAGGTATAATAGTTTTCAGAGGGAAGTCATTTTCCAGAATTTAATGTTTTTACTGTATTTCTATTGATATTAAATGTACAGGATAAGTTATAATTTAAAATATTTATGACTACTCAAGGAAGAACACACTTTTATCCATCTAGCCATATATTGGACAAAATGTTGCTATCCCATGAATCTCCACCAAAAAACACTTGTTATATTGCATATACCTTTTATGCCTGTATTTGAAAAGAATTCTGACTTACAGCTAATTTATATCCTGGTTTACTCTTTTGATATTGTTAAGTTATATATGAATATATTCACCTACATAGAAAAGGTTATATAAGACAAGGATTGCCTGGTTAATTATTCTGTACATAGCACAGAACAGGAAAAATTATGTGTAGATATAACCTCCTAAACCCATAAAACATTCCTCTGTTCTTTATTCATCCTAAATTATTTTTGTTTGCATTGGAAAACACAGTTTTCCAATGATGCTGCATTGTCTTCTACACTAATTTCAGTGTCTATATTTCATCTGTAAAAAAGTTAAGGCTGGTAATTTAATTGTATTTATATTGTTAATGGTGTAGATTTAGGCTCCTTTTGGGTAGCATATTGTTTTAGCTTAGAAAGTAAGAACTTATCTTGTTGGAAGACAAAACATATTCTTGGGATCTACAAAAATGTATATAAATAGTGAATAGAGAGCATAAATTTCTTTAAGTTCTTTTACCATCTGTTTGTTATCTTATATCGTTGCTAAAAAATCTAGAAGTTCAACTTCCAAAATATAATGCACACCTGTTTTGTCAGTATCATTCACATGCAAATATAATTAATTAGAAAGGAAAGATATAGTTAGACTTACATTTTCACTAGATTCTCTTTCATTCTAGGCAGTTGATCCATCTGTTGCCTTTTAGAAACTTGGTATGAGTCAGAGACCTGAAATACAAACATTTGAGCATTTGTCCTCTTATTTCATGACTGATTTTGGAGATAAGAGGAACAGTCCATTCTCAATTAACTCTTTTATAACCAGGCCCTTAAGTGGTATGCATAAAGGAAGCTAGAGCATAATGGGAAATTCTGGCCTTCTCCAGTATTAAAAGGCTTCTAAAGATTATGGAAACTCCTTTATCTCAATCCTACATTCCATGTGATTTTTAAAATAAATATAGAGGAAATTGTGAAAATCATATCATCTTTGTGGTATAAAGATCATTAAAAGTTTTCATAACAGACACTCAAAATAAATTATATACTCTGCCATTAAGAAAGATATGACAATAGAGTGGAAATGGAAAAACAAGATCATATTTTCATTTTTGTTTGTTTTGAGACACTTCTGTGATACAAAAGTGGAGACTTTCTGTAGGTGGTATAAGTAAAATTTCCATTACAGGAACAGTTGAGGCTGGTGACCTTAGAGATGGCATTGAAGACATGAGTAAATGAGATCATTCAGTAAGAACACAGAGAGAAGTAAGAGAGTTGATGATAAAAACTTGAGAAAGCAACTTTTAAGGGGTAGGAGAATTACTAAAGGCCATCCCTGAAAAAATACTGGCATGGAAGTCAAGAGGTGGGTGATATTCAAAAAGTGAGCATAGTTAGCAATATGAAATGCCTCAGAGATGTCTACACTACCAGGAGGTTTGAAAAGAAGTCATTAAGTTTGGCTATTAAAAAGTAAACTGTGCCAGAGCCCAGTGCTGGGGGTCAGAAAGGAATTGAAAGAGGTCGAAGACTAAAAGCAAAGCAGTGAGTATATCCACCCTTGCACGAAGTTTGAGAAAAGAAAAGCTAAGGTAGTAGTTTTATTAAGACGGGGTAAAATAGGGGCACCTGGGTGGCTCAGTTGGTTAAGCGGCTGCCTTCGGCTCAGGTCATGATCCTGGGGTCCTGGGATCAAGGCCCACGTCCGGCTCCCTGCTCAGCAGAGAGCCTCCTTCTCCCTCCCCCTCTGCCTGCCACTCTGCCTACTTGTGCTCTCTATCTCTCTGTCAAATAAATAAATAAAATCTTTAAAAAAAAAAAAAGATGGGGTAAAATAAAAGTTGGTTTCTGTTTTATTTTGGTGGAAGAGATGAGCATCTTTGTGAAGATGTTAGATCATCTTTGCTAAGTGGGACAATTTTGGGCACATTGGACCAGATGGAATTCACTCATTTATTCACTCAGCAAATGCTATTGAGCATCCACTATGTGCCACCTCCAGTTTAGCACTGGGGCACAAAGATAAGTCACAGTTCTTACAATCTATTGGAGCATAATACATAGATTATACAATTCACTGCCTTGGCAGAGGTTTGCACAGGTGCTTTGTAAGCATAAGGCAGATGCTAGTTCAAGCCATAGGGGGCCTGGAAGAGTAGCCAATTAAGAGCTAAGGAAAGGACATTCCAGGCAGAAGAAGCAGGAAGGGCCTACAAGTATAAGACAGCATGACATATGCAGGGACCATATATATCGTTGGTCTGGCTGCAGTACATGGTGTGAGTAGGGACACAGCTGGAAAGGCAGGTGTTGGAAAGGATCTTGTAGACTACACTGAGCTTTGCTGAAATCCTTTGGACAATAAAAATCACTGAAGGCTTTAAATAGGGAACATCACCAGAGCGCCCAGGTGGCTCAGTCAGTTAAGCGTCCAACTTTTGATTTCAGCTCAGGTACTGATCTCAGGGTCCTAGGATCCAGGCCCAAGTCTGGCTCCATGCTCGGTGGGGAGTTTGCTTGGGGATTTGCTCCCTCTCTCTCTGCCCCTCCCCTGCCAAATAAATACGTCTTTTTTTTTTAATTTAATTTAATTTATTTATTTGTCAGAGAGAGAGAGAGCAAGCACAAGCAGGGGGAGCAGCAGAGGGAGAGGGAGAAGCAGACTCCCCGCTGAGCAAGGAGCCTGATGCGGGACTCAATCCCAGGACCCTGGGATCATGACCTGAGCCAAAGGCAGACGCTTAAGTGACTGAGCCACCCAAGTGCCCCTAAACAAATCTTTTTAAAAAAAGTAGGGAACAACACCATATCTGTATTTCAGAATGATTGCTCAGGCAGCAGAGGAGAAAAAATTGAGTATGGTGGTGGCAATATTTTAATAGCTATGCTGTTGAGATTATATTTCAAGTCTAGATTTAAATCTAGGGAGCTCTAGGGTTCCTGGGTGGCTCAGTCAGTTAAGCGTCTGCCTTAGGCTCAGATCATGATACTAGAATCCCAGACCTGAGCGCCCCCATCCGAAGCCGGGCTTGTTAGGGAGTCTGCTTCTCCTTCTGCCCCTCCCCCTGCTCATGCTCTCTCTCTCTCTCTCTCTCTCTGTCACTCTCTCTCAAATAAATAAATAAAATCTTTTAAAAAGAAAATAAAAATAAATCTGGGGAGCTCTATTTTCAAATGAATAATAATAAAATAGAGTTGTCCAAAAAGACAACAGAAAGAGCTGGATAGTCTGGAACCTATGACATAAGGAATTGCTAGTGTAACTTTTGTGGTAATTTAATATTTTAGCTTAGGGAAAAAAAACTATGGAAACACTTAAGGGTTGTTTTCATATCTTTGAGAACCTGCCACAGAGGAGACATATAGAATTGTCCTGTGTTCTTCAGTGGAAGAAACTAAAACCAATACGTTTTAAGGAAGGAGAATAAGGAGAATTACATGATGCTTTAACAATTCTAATAATTAGAATTGCCCGACAATGAAACAGAACAGCCTCAGGTTCATTATCTGTAAACCAAAGCATTATATTCAATAGTGTCTCAGATCTACTGCTAAAATTCCACATTTATGGAAACAGAAGTTTATTATGTGTTACAAGTTCTAGTCAGCCTTTCTGCCTTTTTTTTTTTTGTAACACTGTTTTATTAAGAGTGAACTCTTTTCAGTATTCCTAAACTGTAAACAATGGGAAACTGAAGTATCAAAGGAAACACATCAGGGATTATATATAACGGACAAAAATCTTTGACTGTTGAATCACAGATCTGTACTTCTGAAACAAATAACACAACATATTTTAAGAAAAAAGGAAAAGAAGAAGATAACAGGAGAGGAAGAAAAGGGGAGTATGTCAGAGGGGGAGACGAACCATGAGAGATGATGGACTCTGAAAAACAAACTGAGGGTTCTAGAGGGTAGGGGGGTGGGGGGATGGGTTAGCCTGGTGATGGGTATTGAGGAGGGCACATTCTGCATGGAGCACTGGGTGTTATGAACCAACAATGAATCATGGAACACTGCATCAAAAACTAATGATGTAATATATGGTGATTAACATAACAATAAAAAATAAAAAAAATAAAAAAAAACCTTTAAATTTTCTTATTCCCTTTATATAACAATCAATGCATATTTAAGTAAAAGCGAACTTCTTACTAGGCAAATATTTTTGCATACGCTGCCTTCTCTTTATCTTTTTGTGCTTTTATCTTTTGTGCGACTTTCAGCAATTCTGCCTGGATAGCTTTATCTTCAGGTGCTATCTCCTGAGCTTTCTTAAGATCAGCCAATGCTTGATCGTATTCTTTTAATCCTTGCCGTCCTTGAGCTCTACGGTACAATGCTTTGGTATTGGATGGGTCTATTCCAAGAGCCTCCAAACAACTGTCGATTGCTCCCTGCCAATTTGACATCTTCAGTTTACAAGCACCAATATTCAGCACGCAGCTTAAAACTGTAGGTTGCAGCTTCGATCTATCTGCTTGCTCAATAATGGCCTTTGAACCTTCCACATATCTTAAAACTTTTGTATATTTTTTAATGGCCATCTCCCAGTTCTGAGATTTGAAAAAAATATTTCCAATATTTTTTACAACTTCTGTTATTAGTAAAATTTTATTTACATCTTTTAAATCTATATCTGCATCCTCAGGGAAGTCTGGATGACTGTCACCAGAGCCATCTTTTGGGAATATGCCCCAATTATCCCCTTCCTTCAATTCTCTGCATTCTGCAATAACACACAATTTGGCAGGTTTTTCACCTTTCACTTGTACATTTTCCAGTATCCTTGCCATACCCATTCCTTTAATTACTTGGCCAAATACCACATGTTTCCCATCCAAGTGAGGAGTCGGGACTGTTGTGATAAAGAATTGAGAACCATTTGTATTGCAGCCTGCATTTGCCATGCTCAATAAACCTTCCTGATCATGCTTATAATAGCAATTTTCACTGTCAAATTTTTCACCATAAATACTTTCTCCACCTGTCCCATTTTGATTTGAGAAGTCTCCACCCAGAATCACAAATTCCTTAATAATTTGATGGAAAGGGCATCTTTTGAAATGGAGAGGTTTCCCAGTTGTGGGTCCAATGCCTTTTTCTCCTGTAAACACTCTGCATGAAAATTTTCTGCAGTTTTGGGTACACTATCTGCAAACAATTCTAAGACAATTCGACAAACTCAATCCCCTCCGATGTCCACATCAAATAAGACTCTGGGGTTACTGGGGTTGGAGAGCTTAGTTTGGGGGGATGGGTGAGACATTTTAAATTGCAGATGCGCTTGGGAGCAAACTCAGAGAAGCTCGTGGACGACTGGCAGCTCAACCCAAAAGTGGCTTTCTCCTCTGCCTGACTTTTAAGTAATGCAACAAACCTATATATGCTTACAACTCAATGTCCATACTGTATACATATTGCATAAATTAGAAAAATCCTGAGATATGGAAACTCACAGTTTCATTCAAAACACTGAAGACAGCAGAAGTATAAACAGCAGCCTCAGCAAATAGCTCTAGTTATCTACCTAAGAATCAATTATTTATGTATTCACCACGGAAGGAACTGCAGATCATCCGTTGACCTTTCCCATCACCCTAATATCCACATGGTCAGAACCATTTTGACTATAAAGACTAACAATTCATTCTAGAGTGAAAATCCTTATTAACATTTATACTGGGGAACAGGATTAACATCTTCCTGGGAAGCTGTTAAAATAGGCTTTGATTGTATGTTCGGTGATCCTGTATAATCAGAGTAGAACCTATTCCACCTTAGTGAATTTTTCAGATAAACAAATAAAGCTAAAGGAGGAAGGCTGAGGCAAGTAGAAATTCTAATGCCTCCGTCACAGAGAGAGAGGCTAGGGAGATCAGAAAAGAAAATAGGAAAATAATGTTCACCACTTACTAGAATTTAGAACATATTATGGGCCAGGCATTTTACTCAGCACTTTATATACCTTTCATCTCTAAACACTTACAAATCCCCTGCAAGACAGTACTATGATTTCCTGTTCTACCAAGAAGGAAAGAAATTAGGCCCCAAAAGTTCACACTACAATTAGGTACCAAGCTGGGATTTAATCCAAATTTAAATGACTCCAAAACCTGTGGTCTTTCCTCAAATCATGGTCTTATAAAGCAGTTAGCATTTATGCTAGAACTTGAAGGAAGCAGAATTGGCACATATGAAAAGCAGCATATTCCAGGTGGAGTCATGGTCTGAGGAAAGGCATGAGGGTGTCTGCCTCAGTTGGCAGTGATGCCAACTGAGTATCCAGGACCATCAAGTGTGAACTGACTGTTTTATGGGTAAGAGACTACAGGAGTGACTCTACTTTTTTTTTAAGATTTTATTTATTTATTTGACAGAGAGACACACAGAGAGAGAGGGAACACAAGCAGGGAGAGTGGGAGAGGGAGAAGCAGGCTTCCTGCCGAGCAGGGAGCCCAATGCAGGGCTTGATCCCAGGACCCTGGGATCATGACCTGAGCCAAGGGCAGATGCTTAATGACTGAGCTACCCAGGTGCCCCAGGAGTGATTCTATTTTGTCTCAATTTCCTAACTTAATCTTAGTCACTACTAGAGAAAAAGAAAAGAAGTCCAAGCCTCCCTTTATCCACCACTGCCCTGACTTTCATTCCCAAATTGTTCTATACATTCCCTTATCAGCTCTAAGCCCCAATCCTAACTCCCTTCCTCTCCATCCTTTCACTGATCCTCTGGAAATACCAGATCAGTGATTAGCAGACTATGGCAAACTTAGCCCTCAAGGTCCTCTACTTCCTTGCCTCACCTAGTTAATGTCCTCAAGACTCCAACCTTCTTCTTGGCTCTTCCTCCCCTGACCATCCCTTTGATACTCTTCAGAGCTATATTCTAAACCATCTTTTCTTTTCACCCTGTATACTCTCCCTGATGCATTTCATTCATTCATATGGCTTCCTTTACTATCTATATGCTAATAATTTCCATGTCTATATCTCCAATTTTTATCTTTTCTACCCTGAGATTCATATATCCAACTGCTCTTTGGACACTTCCATTTAGATAATGTGCATTGAAAACTAAACTCATATCCTGATTTTAAAATATATATCAAAATAAAGTTAACAAGGATTAAATATTTAAATGTAAAACATTTAGCCAAGTACTAAAAAAAATGTGATAAATGTTATGAAACATTGAGATGAAGACTTTTAAACTATGACATCAGAAGCCATAAATAAAAATTGGCTCTGACACCATCAAAACAAAAACTCAGTAATACTAACATCATCATAAATAAAACTGAAAGGCAAATGAAAAACTATGGAAAATATGTGCAACATCATTCATAATTTACTGATCACTTTCCTGTCCTGTCATTTGTATGTACACACTTTCCTATCTTGTATTGTAAGTACACCCTTTCTAGTAATAGTGCAGTATCTTAGGCCTCACTGTGAATAATTATGACATAATATGCCATGAATTTCATGATAACTGAGGGATAACTGCTTATTTGCTTGAATTCTAGAAATTATAAATCAAACTAAAAGGATAACTAAGGAAGCAAATATGCAAAATATTCCCTTAATCTGGGAAACTTTTATCTCCTTTTTACCTTTTTATAAAACCTATAAATTTTCCTTTTCACCTTCCATATTTAGAAACTTGGTATATTTTCTCCCATAATTCCAACATATGTTTGTTTATCAAACCAAACCAATCAAAAGCCTAGAAAAAGTGAAAAATGTAATTTACAGTAAGAGGAAACTCTTAAAATTTGGAAGACAACAAAAGTTACCCGAGACATTTCAGCTAGGTATCTACGGCGCTCATTGTTGGTCTTGTGGTAAGCCTAGAGGAAAAATACATAATTAAAGAATCCAACATCAGAGAGGATTTGCATTATTAGCAAGACTATTACTAAGTCAAGTTTATGTCTCTATGCTGTTTTTTAAAATAGTGTAGGAAATAGTTTTTTAAGTATTTAGTGATAATAATATAGTAGGTTTGTAGATAACATACTAAAAATAATGGCAGTTACAAAGAAATGTCTAGTACAGAATAAAAACAAACCTTTGATTCTTGTTCCAGTCTCAGTGCACAGTCTTTCACTTGATTTTCAAGGCTTCTTTTCTCTTTTTCTAGCCATTTAAGTAATGTGTTTAAGTATTTCTGAAAGTATAAATAGTAAATTTTTACATGTACTCATGTTGTAAATAACAGTAAGAAATTTCTTCACTGGAAAATGCCTCTGCCTCATAACATTCTGTGACTTCAAATTCTATAATATGTACCTTTTAAGTAATAGCAATAATAATAATTACAATATTTATTTAACCCTAACAATATTCCAAGTCTGTACTTGTGCTAAGTGCTTTCCACAAATTATTTCATTTAATCCTTATAAAAGCCAGGAAGATGGCTAATATATTTATTTCCATTTTACTGTTGAGAAAATTGCATCTGATAGATGTTAAGTAACTGGTCCAAAGACACACAGATAATAAATGGTAGAGCTGGAATTAGAAGCCAGGTAGTTTGGGGTGCCTGGCTGGCTCAGTCAGTGGAGCATGAGACACTTGATCTCGAGCTCCATGTTGGATGTAGAGATTACTTAAAAATAAAATCTAAAAAAAAAAAAAAAAAAGAACCCAGGTAATCTGACTCCAAAGGTCACACATGCTAAACAATATTATTATATATTTTTCATATGACTGATTCCAGTGTAACAACAGTACAGTAGAAGAACAGACAATAAAGTTGATGACCAGGAGAACTGAGAAAATATTGCAGAGTAGGACAGTTCTGGAAACTAAGACCTCAAGCCAAATACCATTCATCACAAATAGCTGGAGCTGAGTGGAGGTTTAGCCAAATGCCAGAGCAGTACTGCATTACAGCAATTTGGTTTAAAAATTTAATCCTTAAGAAAAACAAACTGAGGGTTCTAGAGGGGAAGGGGTTGGGGGGATGGGTTAGCCTGGTGATGGGTATTAAAGAGGGCACGTTCTGCGTGGAGCACTGGGTGTTATGCACAAACAATGAATCATGGAACACTACCTCAAAAACTAATGATGTAATGTATGGTGATTAACATAACAATAATTTTTTTAAATTTAATCCTTAAACCAATAGCTAATTATTTGCAGTAACTCCAATTATTTCTCATATTCTTACACATTACCACATTAACATTAAAAAAATCTCCAAAATGAATTCTACATAACCCTTGTTGGTCATGATTTAGGTCACTTAAGTTATTAAAAGAAACATTTAAAGAAAAAGAGAAGCAGCTGATTTAAATCTTCACAAAGCAAAACTGCAAGATATTTTAGAGCTCATACCCTCCTCCTGAAAAACAGTTAATTCTCTACAAACTTATTTTCTCTCCTAGATACTTGTTAATACTTATTAGAATATAAAAAACTGTATCAATAGAATAATTAGGTCAGCTGAAACAAGGCAAGTTCTTGTCTCTAAAAATAACACCAGTGATAATACAAATCTCTTGGTTATGACAATTCTCCACTATGCATATTTGGTTACCATTAAAACATAACTGGGTGATATTTCTCAGGCAGGCCTTATTTGTCTTGGAAAACCATGCACTGGTGTCATATATGGCCTGCAGTCCCCCTCCCCCAAATACAAACTTGCTCCAGAAGAAGTCCATGAAAGCCCCACAAATTTAAGAGGTTAAACTGAGTTATCTTATAGAAAATTAAACCCTTATGAAATAAACCACTGCTCAAGATAAAGAGTTTTTGAAGAAATAATCAAGGAGTGATGGAAGTGGTTCAAAATTTTGCTGTATAGACCCTTGTTAGGAGAATTCCAAGCTTAGTCTACCATAGTAACATGGTTTAGTTACATCACTTGTTAAATACATTTTTATAAATGTAAAAGAGAATCTAACTCTTTTTAATATTGTTTCAATGGGAAAATGCACTCTAAGTTCTAAAAGAAATTAGCTTATCAATAAACTACTGTAATACAAATTATTTTTATATTAAAGATGACCTGAATGAGATATGACCCAAAACTAGAAATTCACACAAGAAACGTACATATGAAATAGGTAAAATTCAAGGCAATACATGACTAAATGCCAAAATGTGAAACACAGACAATAAATGCCTCACAAGTTTTTGAAAGAGGCTGATCAACATGGGCTAGAGCATTCAGGATCCCCCAAAGGGGAAGGATTTGAATGGGCAAAAAAAGAGGGAGAAGGGGAGCTATATATTGATCAAAGACTTGAGTCAAATGATTATTTAGTGGTAATGATAGAGCTAAAGCAAGATATCTGAGCAATAAATAAGAGATAAGGTAAGATAAATAAGGAAGGACCTGGTTATAGAAGACTTAGACTGCCAGGGTCAGGAAGCTAAATGCTGGGAGCTATCAGAAATTATTAAACAAGTGGCATGATGAGAGCAGGGGGTTAGGAATACTAATTAAGTGGCAACTTCTATGAGAAAAGGATGTTTTGTGTTATTGATTGATGTGGCTCCGTCAGTTAAGCATTGGCCTTCGGCTCAGGTCATGATCCCAGGGTCCTAGGATCGAGCCCAGCATTAGGTTCCCTGCTCAGTGGGGAGCCTGCTTCTCCCACTCCCTCTGCCCCTGCCCCTGCTCACGCTCTCTTGCCCTCTCAAATAAATAAATAAATAAAATCTTTAAAAAATTAAAATAAAATGCAAAAATATATAACTCCTGGAAGATGACATAAGAGAAAACTTAGATGACCTTGGGTATGGTGGTACTTTTTTAGATACAACACCAAAGGTACTATCCATGAAAGAAATAATAAATAAGCTGGTCTTCATTAAAATTAAAAAAACTTCTGCTCTATGAAAGACAATGACAAGAGAATTAGAAGACAAGCCACACACTGGGAGAAAATATTTGCAAAACACACATCTGATAATGGACTGTTACCTAAAATACACAAAGAACTCTTAAAAGTCAACAACAACCTGCTTTAAAAATGGACCAAAGATCTTATCAAATACCTCATCAAAGAAAATATACGGATGAAAAATAAGCACATGAGAAAATGCTCCACACCGTATGTCATCAGGGAAATGCAAATTAAAACACAAGGAGATACCACTACTCATCTATGAGAATGGCCAAAATCCACAACACTGAAAATACCAAATGCCAATGATGATGTGGAGCAATAGAAACTCTCATATAATGCAGGTGGGAATGCAAAATGGTACAGCTTCTTTAGAAGACAGTCTGGCAGGAGTTCCTGGGTGGCTCAGTCAGTTAAGTGTAGGACTCTTGATTTCTTTTTTTTTTAAAGATTTTATTTATTTATTTGAGAGAGAGAGAGAATGAGAGATAGAAAGCATGGGAGGGAAGAGGGTCAGAGGGAGAAGCAGACTCCCCGCCGAGCAGGAAGCCCGATGCGGGACTCGATCCCGGGATTCCAGGATCATGACCTGAGCCGAAGGCAGTTGTTTAACCAACTGAGCCACCCAGGCGCCAGGACTCTTGATTTCTGCTCAGGTCATGATCTCAGGGTTATGGGATCGAGCCACGTCAGGCTCTGTGCTCAGCACGGAGTCTGCTTGTCCTTCTCCCTCTGTTTCTCCCCCTGCTAGTGTTCTCTCTCTCAAATAAATGAATAAAATCTTCCAAAAAAAAAAAAGAAGTCTGGCAGTTTCTTACAAAACTAAACATACTCTTACCATACGATCTAGTGATTGCATTCCTTGGTATTTGCTCAAAGGAGTTGAAACTTAGATCCCTACAAAAACCTGCATATTTATTCATAGCTGCTAAAACTTGGAGGTAACCAAGATGTCCTTCAGTAGGTGGATGGATAAATGAACTATGATTACATCCAGACAATGAAATATTCAGCACTAAAAACAAATGAACTATAAAGGCATGAAAAAAACATGGAGGAATCTTAAATGCATATTACTAAGTGAAAGAAGTCAATCTGAAAAGGTTATATACTGTATGACTGCATCTATATGACATTCTGGAAAAGGCAAAACTATGCAGACAATAAAAAGATCATGGTTGCCAGAGGTTGGGGGTGGATAGTGGGAAGGAACAGGTGGAGCACAGAGGATTTTTAGGCAGTGAAAATACTCCATATTATACTACAAGGATGGATATATGTCATTATACATTTTCCAAACCCAGAGAATGTATAACACCAAGAGTAAACCCTAAGGTAAACTATGGATTTTGGGTGATTATGATGAGTCAATGTAGGTTCATTCCAGTAATGTTGATAATGGAGAGGCTATGCATGTGTAGGGGTAGGCAGTATGTGAGAAATCTCTGCACCTTCCTTCCAATTTTGTTAAGAATCTAAAACTGCTCTAAAAAAAAGGTATTAAGAAGCACTGAAGTTACTGTAGTATAATTTTATAATTTTAAAGGATTTCTGATGTTTATAATAATTTTTTAATGGATAACTACAAATACCTTGCTTTTAATGATCCAGGATATTTAATGACTAATACAGTTTTTACAAAATCCAGAATGTATTCTCGTTTTCTCCCCAGGACAATTTTTTAAATTAATTAATTAATTAATACCTTTTTTAAAAGCAGTTTTAGGTTCTTAACAAAATGGTTTTATCAAAGGCACATATTCTCTCATCGCATTACTTATAATTCATTAGAAGACCCAAACTTAATGTTCTTCATCTTTCTAAGGAGCTTGTTTTAGCTGATTATATAATTAATGGTCAAATACTAGAAAACTATAGCCTGAAAAGATATGCTAAAGCCATGGCTAAATTGAAGATTCCACTGGAAATTAACCAAAAAGAAATTACAAACAGAAAAATTAATTCCTCTCTTATCATAGAGGAGCTGTTTTGTTTCTGATACTAATCAGTACTTAATATTTCACCTATGCTCATGCCTTAATTTGCTTGGAAAGGGTCACTTCCAACGGTACATTGAAACAACAGGGTAAGAATAAGAAATTTCAGGACACTGTTACATACCTGAAAGCAAATATACTTAGTTGGTTTTTTTTTCTTTTCTTAAGGCCCTTTCTTCTATCCTAAGTAAAAACAAAGCTCTATTAGCCAACTTTTTAAGCAATGGTAATTGCTATACTATACTAAAGAACATATAAAAACTACAAGTAAAAAAAAAATCACTCTACTGAATGCTTATAAGAGAAAAATACGAGAATACAATTAATCACAGCTCCAAGATATGCCATACTTTTCAATGAACGCAATTGCAATGAATGAATACAGCCTTCTGCATGCTTAAATACCAAGTGCCCCCTTGTGGACAACATTGTTATTAGATTTATATATAAAATCTGTTATTTGTTTTGTGATTTGAGGCTACACACCTGTCTCCAAACTGACACATGATCTTCAGGGAGAACACAAATCTGGTGATATCTGGGACAGACATCAGGAAGCAGTCTCAGATGGATTCTACATATCTACCACTAGCCAGATGGCTAGTGGGAATTCCTCTTCTTGCTTTGTTTATACCACATTCTTGAGAATCCAAGATCCCTTCAGTAGCCCTTTCACTATGTGGCTGATATATCACTTTAAACACAAATATATTTAGGGATGTCAATAGTGCTTTAGGCTCACTACTATTAACCCTGGTTATTACATTCTAAAATATATATTTATGACTTTTAAAACAAAATTTCTAAGAATGTTCTGAAGGTGGAAATAACCAGAATGAACGCAGTGGGAGCATGACTGAATGCTGCAGTGAAGTAATAGTTCCCTGGAAGGTCCAAACTGGGCTGAATGTTTGTCCAGGACCCCATGAAGCAGCATAACTAAAAGAAGAATCTGACTCACAATATAGGGAATCACATTTGGGAAAATGGTATGGGGCATCAGGATGAACAAAAGAGTAGGGCAATGATTAAGGACATCGGAAGTCAGCATGTAGAACATAAATGGACCAAAATAGAGAATGGTATGAGGGGAGAGTCTTGTTTCTTTAAAGGCTCAAGTACATGATGAAGACACTAGTCTGGCTGTTTGAAAGAATTTGTAAGATTTAAAACCATCTCTTCCTTCATGCTTTTCCTGCTAAGCAGGGCAAGGAGAGAGATTTTATGGTCTGTCCTAAGGAAAGTTGAAACATACTTCAGAAGGGAAACTAGGTAAATATCCAAAAGTTAATATTTCAAGAAGTAAATTGACCAAAGGATTAACTTGCAAAGAGGACAATTCACCTAGGATTCTAAATTTACCAATTTATCAAAAACTTGCTTTTAGGAGAGTCTTCCATGCATGTGAACTTATAACTGAAACATTCTTTTTCTGAATATATTTTTCAATGATGATACTAAATGCTAAGCCATTTTCATAAATTTTAGTTTTTAACAAATTGAACATTCTTTAAATGCTAGGGTTATAAACATAAGAATGTATTCAAAGATTTAGACTTCAGCAAATTAATTTCCTGTAACTTGATTTTCTACAAATTGATCAAGAGTTTTCCAGAAAACATTTAATGTGAAACTCAACATTTTCCTAAATAATGTTTCTCTGTTTCCATACTTTCTCCTTCATGTCTTCCTTCACCAGATAGCCTTATTGGCTTTGGGAGCAGGATCTTCTGTGCTATCTCCATCTGACTGATAGAGTGTGTGTTCTGGAGAGGTTTCCCTGAAGGGACCAAGATGTCTGGGTGTAATGAGAAACAAGGGAATGCACTGATTGGAAAAAGAAGCAGAGAGAAATAGAAGTGCTATGGTCTGAACGTCTGTGTCCTCCCCAAATTCATACGTTGAAATCCTGATGCCTCAAGTGATGGTATTTGGGAGATGCTCAGGTCATGAGGGTAGAGGCCTCATGAATAGGATTAATGCTCTTGTAAAAAAGACTCTACAGAGGTCCTTAGCCCCTCCCACCATGTGAGGACACAACAAGAAGGAGCCATCTCTGAACCAAAAATCAAGCTGTGTTACCAAACACCGTATCTGCTGGTACCGTGATCCTGGACTTCCAGACTCCATAACTGTGAGAAGTATATTTCTGTTGTTTGTAAGCCACCTAGTCTGTGGTATTTTTTTATAGCAGCCAAAACAGACTTTAAGGTAAGGGGTCATCAGTTTTATGACTCCTAATGAATCAAGGAACAGGACTTCAACCATGAAATAGAGTTGACCACAGGGATATGGTAGAACTTTTTGATAAAGGTTTTATAGTAACTTTTCACAAGAGAGGCTATCTTTCTCTGAGGGATCTAAATCCCCTAAATCTGTTATTGCTGTTGCTATTTTATATATAATAGTGCTTTGCAATAGAACCTATTGAGATGTCGCTAAAAAATACAAATGCCCAGGCCTTATCCCAGACCTACCAAATAAGGATCTCTGGGGGTAAGCCCAAGAATGTGCATTTTTAATAAATTATTCACATGATTCTTACACAGTTTGAAAATTAAAGGACCACAATTCTACATATTGACCAGCAACTAGGGACATGGCAGTGCTGGACAGTAAAGGAAAATAGGGAAGTAGAGAGGCCAATCATTGTGCCCGTTTGCAGCACAGTGTCATAGGTACTAAGCTTGAGTGGGCCTAAATAAATTAATCAAAGAGAGAAGACATCAACTACCAGTATGCTAATAGTGCCAGTAAAGCACAAAAGATTACTCAAAACATTGCTGGGAACCACCTATGGGGCTGTGTACCAGGAGCCATAAAGTTCTGATAAAGAGTTTAGCTGAATCCTCAGCTTCGTATTCTAACTGGAGATTAAAGAAGCCTAGAGTCCCATGTCAGAACCTGAAAAATAGCTACTGCTCATCAGAGACAACACAACCTCATTATCCTTAACTTTTAGTCATCTGGAATGCTTAAAACAGATTCTAGTCTTCCAGTGAATGGCAATAGATCTTTGCTCAATACACAGGAAATTCTTGGAAGTAGGCACTAGGTTCTTCTGGTGGATGTAAATAGAAGGGGTTCGAAAATGTCCACCCAGCAATCCCAAGAAAAGTAAAAGTTCAGTGCTTTTTATTATATCCCTGAAGAAGCCCCTGCTTTCTGGAAAGGTACTAAAAAGCCACAGAATTCTACTATACTTTTAAGAGGTACCAGAAGATTCACAGCTTATATAACAGCACAGCTGAATAACTGAAAACATATTGCACAACTTACCCTTGTCCTTATTTCCTTGAAATGGGCTAAGGTTAATTTCACAACAGGCTTGTTTTAATGAAAGTTAGAGCTCCCTCTAAAGTTCCCATTATCAAGGAAAGGGAAGAAGGGAACTAACACTTTATCAAGGGAAGTGCTTACTGTGTTAGGCACTATGCTATTTGCTTTACATATCTCCAATAATCTTCATGACAAACTTGCAAGAGAGCTTAATTAATTTCATTTTACATATGAGGAAATTAAGCCTCAGAGAGATGAAATAATTTCCTTAGTGCCCCATAGTTTGAATTTGAACCAGGACAGTCTAATTCTAAAAAGCCAAGTTTCTGGGTAAAGTGGGTTACACCCACCCCATTGTCTCACTCCTTCTTTTTCCACTACACCACATTTTCTTTCAATAGCCTACCTTCTAATTTGCTTCTAATCTGCTTACCTTCTTCCCCTTTGAATCAATAATGTGCTGGAACTTCCGACCATGTACTTTATCCTACCATGCACCTGAAATTTCTTGAAGAACATTCTTCTGCTGAACCTTCATTAAACACTTCTCCTCCCTTGGCTTCTGTGATATTACTCTTTTCCAGTTCTTCCCTCTCCCTTTCTCAATAATTTTGTTCCCAGTTATCTTCACTGAATCGCCTCCTCAGCTAAGTGTTCGTATTCCCTAGGGTTCCATCCTTAATCCTTCTTTTCAGACTTTGTATTTCTTTCTGAGTAATCTCATACTTTCATGAAGGCAGGTGACAAGGATGACTCCATGATCTCTCTATTCAGAGAGACAACTTTCCATAGTCTAAAACCATGTCCAGGTGCTTGCTGATCACTATCATCTGTATAATACACACAAAACTAAACTCATTTCCTAACACTCCGCCTGCTTCTGATTCCTACAGTGCTATTCACTGTAATCATTGTTCAAGGGAGAGTCCTTAATCTTCCTCCAATCCTCTCCCAGTCTCACCTGAGCATCCATGTACTCATAAAATCCACATTCCTAAATATCTCTTCAATCGGTCATAGTGCGTCCATCCCCATATACTACTGCCCAAGCTGAACAACTCACCTTCCCTTACCTGGACTGTTACAAACGTGTCCTATCTGGTTTCCCTGCCTCAAATCTCACCCACCCTGGGGAAGCCTTTCTCCATGGAGGGGAGGGAAGGCTTTTAAACTGTATATTAAATATTTCAAAAGCTTCCCGCCACATATAAAAAGGTTCACGCGCATACAAAATCCTTTGTTATTGAGGCTCTGCTTATATTTCCAGTCTTATCTCCCATCACCTCTTTTATTTATTACAGACCTGCAGAACTAACTGGAGACCTGAGGTGTCTTTTGATTGATCCAGAGGGATTTTATCATTATTTGAAAATGTGCAAATCCCATGATATAAATATTTCACTCTGTGCACTACAGCAGTGGTTCTCAAACTCTGGTGTATATCTGAATTATCTGGAAAGTTAATAAAGAACTCAGAAGTGGCAAGCTGGTTGAAGGACAGGGCTGGCTTTTGTATTTTTATGAAGTTCCCTACGTGATTCTGTTACTTACCAAAGTTTAAGGACCACTGCGTTAAAGCTAGGGCCAGCAAACTATAGCCTATAGACCAAATCCAGCCACAGGCTGTTTTTGTAAGCCAAGATTTGTTAGAATAAAACCGTACCTATTCATTTAGGTATTGTCTATGGCTTCTTTCACACCACAATGGCAGCATCAAATAGTTGTAGCAGAGATCAAATGGCCTGCAAAGTATTAACTATTTAGCCCTCTACAGAAAAATTAGCCAATTCTGGAGGAACACTTTATATCAGGAGACATGTATAAGTATGTTCCCTGAGGCAATGTTTGTCACAGTGAGATTTTGAAAAATCCTCAATGTACATAAATAGGGGAATAAATAAATTAAGATATGTATTATTATACTATATATGTATAGTAGAATACTATGTAGCAAATAAAATTTACCAGATCTTTATGCATTAACATGGACAGAATAAAAATGGATGATGTGTACAATATATTTTTACATGCATTTTTAGACACAATATCTGGAAAAAGGTATTTAAAAATAAATTAGAATGGTATATGCCAAATCCATGATCATACTTGCCTATAAAGGGAAAGAGACACAAGGGGAATAAAAGTGTCCTCAACTCTATAGATTGTTTTCATTAAAACATTTGAAATCAAAAAGTGACAAAAATTAAAGATTTGCTAATACTAGAATATACTGTTTGCCATATTATCCTCTGTGGGGTTTATTTTATTCAAAATTAAAACCACAAATAACCTAAAATATTCAACTATAGGGAAAAGGAATTGAACATTAATAATCCAATGCAATGAAATATAATGTAGCTCTTAAAAATATACATGAAGAAAATGTAACATAAGAAATTATTGGTTTAATTGTCCATGATTAGTACAGGACACAAAATTGTCCATGGAATAGGGTTAATATTATATATATATTTTAAAAGTGTTATCCTTATTTGTTCCTTTTTGGGGTTCATTTATTTATTGGGTTGTAATTTTTAATCAATATACATGCATGTAGAACTTTAAAAAAAGAGGTCAATAGTAGATATATTTGACTTAATATTTATCTTTGTCTTTTATTTTCCATATAGTATTAAATGAATACATATTACTTTAAAATGAAATGGTACTTAGGGTGCCTGGGTGGCTCAGTCATCTAAGCATCTGACTTTGGCTCAGGTCATGATCTCAGGGTCCTGCAATGGAGCCCCCAGTTGACAGTCAGGCTACCTGCTCAGTGGGGAGTCTGTTTCTCCCTCTCCCTCTGCCTCTCTCACCCCCAATCCCCCACCTTGTGCGAGCTCTCTCAAATAAATAAAATCTTTAAAAAAAAAAATGAAATGGTACTCATTGAAAGTGACCTTGTGTGGCAAATAGAGCTAATTGCATAACAGATACTCATTTTCTACCCTTCTTCCTACTACTGTACTCAGTAAAACACTAAATTTCCCAGCCTTTCTTGTGATACAGGAGGCCATATGATGCAGTTTTAACCAATGAGATGTAAGGGGAGACTGTGTGCAGCAAGCTGGAAAATGTTTTGAAAGAAAACAAACTTGACTGGCCTCCACTTTGCCCTTTTCCCTTCACCTACTTCTTTCTATTGAAAGAGAAGATGAAGCAGGTGAGAAAGTGAAGCAGCCATTTTGTGAGCATGGCGAACAAAAGTCATTCATTAAAGGATGGCAGAGTGGAAGGCAAGTCGGGAGCCTGGAGGAGCTACTTCGCCAATCCGGACTGCATCCCTCTAACACTTCCTGTTACGTGAGAAAACAAAATGAAACACCTTACTCATTTAAGCCTTTTTCTTACATGCAGCCAAATGTAACCTTTTACTGAAACATCTTGCTAAAATTAAATATTAATAAATTATACTGCTGAAAGGCACTTTAAAGATTATCTCATCTATAGTACCTGAGGATGAGAAAAATAATCTTCAAAAAGGTTGAAGGCTTGAAGCCAGTCTCTATCAGAAATTTACTCACTTAAGTGAATCCTTGTTCTAAAATATTAAAATCAAGTCCACTTTAATGACCCAGTTTGTAAATTACTTTTTTAATATTTATTTCTTTTTCAAATGGTAACCTTTTTTTTAAATTACATATATATTGGTCAAAAATTGGTATTCATCCCTGTTTTTGCCCATAAGCAAACTTGAAATTTGAAGTTACTCAAAATTAGTATTCAAACTGACATCAATTTCTTAAATATGTCTGTATAGGTTACTCTTAAAGACCAAAATCTACAACAAGGATAAAAAATAAGTAAATTTACAAATAGTGTTTGAATTCATATTCTATCCCCCTAAAACAATTTAAACCCTTTTCTCTAAATATCAACCTAATAGAAAATGTCTGCATTTCATTAAGAGTATGTGTCTGAATTTCATAAATATTGTTTTTATATAAAGAATAAGACTTAGTATACTATCTTTTTCCTTGAATAAAAGACTTCATCATTAGATATAGGATTCTTGGATTCCAGTGCTTTTTGCTCAGTAATTGGCTACTTCCACCACCAGCTACTTGGCTAGTTTCCTAACACCTGCTGTTCATACAAACTCCTCCTGGATTCCACTGTATAAGAAAACCCAAATACTCATGCATGCCTCTGCCCACAGAATAGAGAGAACCAGTTCCTTAAACACCTGAACTTTCATTATCTTTCTTTTCTGCTTCGTACATGGCCCCACTCTTGGTTTTTCTAACATTTCTTTAGTCCTTTACTGAAGAGAAATATAATTCTCCGCCTCCAGATCTAAACCTCTTAGAGAACCACATTTTTTTTTCAAGAATAACACAAACTCATCAAAGGAAAAAAATTTTTTGTCAACATACAGAGTCTGAGGTAGCAAGTAGAAAACCAATCAACTGCTTCTTACATATGCTGTAAATCATCATAGCAGGTCCCACCAGCACTTGCTGCTATTCTCCATAAGGCTGGTGATACCCAATTTCTTGAGCTAGCACTGAGGATGAGTTATCAGGAAACTGGGAGTCAGAATATTTTATGTTCTGTAGCTAGCATTCTATATTTTATATTCTATAGGTAGAATTAAAATCCTATCCACAATTAATAAAGACAAGGCTTAAAATAGCCCTTGCGGCAATTTCTAAATACCACAAGATGGGGATATGATTCCATGATTTTCTAAGCTTTCTAAGACACAAAAATAAAGGTATTTCTGGGCTGAAAATAACAGAGGTGTAAAAATTAGTTTATTTCTCCCCTGATTTATTATTTTAAAAAATATGATATTTTTCTGCATTTTTCACTAAAGATCTGCAGTTATTCGAAGAGCAATCTCTATAATGCTCTGGTCCTCAGGACCTCTGTGAATATAGCAGTCAGTTAAGTGCTCTACATAAAGCTATTAAGAAACATGTTATTTCTGATAAGCAGTATAGAATGGCTGTTGGCATAGCACAGTCTAGTCAAACGGGCATAGATTTTTTTAGAGAAAGAGAATCGACCTCCACATTTCCAGACTGTGTGATTCTGAGCAAATCACTTAATTGTTTTAAGCTTAGTGTCACATGTATTAAAGGAAATAATATTAAATTTTACCTCATTGGGTTGTGTGGTCCTGCCAATTTAGTAGTGTATTGTATTTTCATTTTCATATAAAGTACCCTTGATTTTTTATAAGATTTCCATGTTTTTCTGAATATTCTTGAAATAAAAATTCAGCATGAATTCTAAAGAAAAGGCTATTTCCACGTATGCTCGAGACCCAGCATAAGTCACGCTTTAGGTCTTCTCTACATTTTAAAAAATAAACATTTAAACGAATGAGAAACAAATGTGCTTTGTAAAGTATAAAACATATAAATTCAAGTAATTTATCAGGAGGAAAGGCTGTCACTAGGGCAGCCCAAAGAAAAAGTAGGTCAATCAGTGTAATAAGGTTTCTTTCATGTTTTAGGGTAATTTTATGGGTTCTCTGTTAGATTTTATACATTGTGTGTGTGAATGTGAATGTATGTATATATATATCTATATGTGTATATGTATATTCCAGAGGAACTAGAAAGGAAATGTTTTTAGATAGGTATGAAATATATTTGTGTTTAATAGGCTCTTTTAGGTCACAGGAAGTAGATACACTCAGGTTCTACCTGGACTGACTACTGAGATTCTTTTCTTCCATTTTGTTTGTACCTGCAACCCTGCCCAGCTTTATAAGGTAGAAATTAAGTTGAAGGATCTGCTATAGAATTCCTTACTTCCTAGAAACAGTTCCACTGAATGAAATATTTTGGAACTTACCCCAATCTTCAAACTTTTTTTGGAACCTGTCTAAAAAAGAAGTACATAATTTCTTTCCTTCAATTATTCTTTTTGTTTAACCAGCTTTTACTCACCACTGGCATTTGTTCATAGACACAGATAGAAGACAATCTACACAAAACAAATATGAAAATATTAACAATTAATATTTTATCATTTTTAACTCAACTTATAAAACATATATATATATACATATATATATATATATATATAGTTGCTTTTGTACCTGAAGGATTTCCACAGATTTTTTCCATTTTCTCTTCTAGAGAAACAATTTGTTTTTCTAGTTGATCATTCAGTTCAAGTTGTGTCTCATAATGAACTTTCCATTCACCACCTGATTGGAAAAGTGGGGAAAATCAAGATCATCTTGTCACCTCTCATTTATTTACATTAATCAGCTCATTTAGATCTCCTTTAAAACAACATTAATCAGCTCAATCTTACTGTACTTGACTTTGTTAGCAATGTAGATGAACAAGAGTGAAGTAATTTTTAAGTATGCATTTTTCTGTTAGATAGGATCTTTCAGATTGCAGACAGTAGATTCACAGTCAGATTACCACACAGCCAGACCTCACTAGAATTATTGTGATTCCTGGTCTCCTTGTCTCCTTTGTCCTTTAGTTCCTCACATACCCTTATAAGGAATTCTATTAGCGGGACTATCGGAACATGTTTCTTTCCTTGGAACTTGTCCATATCTAACAGCCTACATAGTTCTAGCTTCCATCCAGCGTCATGTCCATTTTTTTTCCTTTGCAAACAAATTCTTAAGTACGTTTAACAATTACCACTTACATCTTTGCTATGTATAAAGTACAAAATGTTTCACATATATTAACTAATTAATCCTCATTTTAAAAACTTTGTCACCTATTTTACAGATGAGGAAACCATGGCTCAGATATGTCAAATAACATTCTCAAAATGAAAAAGCCAATAAATGGAGCAACTGGGGTTTGAACCCGGTTTTATCTGACTTCAAAGTGTATCCTCTTAACCGTTATGTTAATACATGCAGCTGCCTATTCAGGCATCTTCTCTTATCCTTAAGCAGGTTTCTTTCACCAAGCCCCTTTGGTTATTAAGGCCAAAACATCTGTCTTATTGCTATAGGAGGAGAGGAGAATACAGCCTAGAATTAAAACATCTTTGGTCAGCTTCAAGGCCCAAAGCTAATTTTTTTTAATCTTGAAAGTCACACTTTATAGAGAGATAAAAGATGGCTTGCTTCTAAACTTTAAATGCTCCTTACATATATGAGACAATTTCTGCTCCATCATAGTTGATGGAGGAATCTAAGTAGGAAGAGTATTAGCACATATCACTGGCCTCAACCTCCTCAACCCAGCCACATGTTTCCCTTAGGCTCGTCATCTCTAGTAAATACAGTGTTCCAAAAACAGGAGCAGGAACACCCTCCCAAACTGAAGTTGAAAGTCATTAATCCAAACGCTTTAGGAACAAGAAGGAAAGAGAAGCCTGAGAGACTGAACATTTATCCAAAAGATACTACTGAGTCCAAATAGATGGAATTATCTGTATAACTGGCTAGCTAGTCTCTTTGTAACTAGACCCCTTTCCCCACCATGGGAATGGAGGCTTCAGAGCAAAATGAGAAGTTACCAAAAAATTAAGAATGTAATTTATTTTTAGTACATCCGACTATAGTCTAGAAATGTTTGCCTCCACTTTAAAATATTATTGATCTAGAGATCCTCAAATAAAGTAAGCCTAGTATTATACTATCATTTATTAATGTTAATAAGTGCAAGTCCCTGGTGGTGATGTCAATATTCGCATTCCCCAATGTGATGAACTGATCTCAAATGTACACACTTAAATGTGTAACTCCTTCAGTACGTATACACAGATGGCTCCACATTATAGGGGACAAAAGACAAAGAGAAAGCATATGGACTGCTGAATTATAGGAGAAAATTTTAAAATAGCAGTGTCTATAAAAAATAGGAAAAAATAGACTTCTGCTGTGGGGTCACATTGTGACTTTCATGGGCCCTTGTGGCACTTTTGCCTTTATGGGCCTCTTCCTCTGTAAAAAATATTAAAAATTCTACTTTACTACTAGGTTGGTATAAAGACAAGGATAGTCCAGACTGGATAATATTCATTTTTTCTTCTGATTTTAAAATAAAATATCTCATTGGCCTCTAAAAGCATCACACAAATCACATCAACTTCCTACTTATCAAGTATTTCCTTTTTCTAAGAAAGGACCACACCGATTATTTCTTTCTCTACCACATCTTGTTCTGTGATAACCCAAAATACCCAAAATATTAAGGTTTATCATTTTTGCATAATTCTTTATCCATCTTTAAAATACAATAATGTTTAAATTATATTTTCAATTGGGAATAAGAATAGCAGTTAAAAGTAGGAAGTTTTTTTTAATAGGCTTGTTACTAAGGGAAGGTAAGAGACATCTGAAACACCCAAATAAGATGTGGTGCTATCTTTGAGACAGCCACAATATACTTGACACCAAAAAGGATGGTCCCTGACCTTTAGCACAATAGCAGCCAACCTATAAAGGCCAACAATAAACTTACAATAAACCATTATTTAAAATACAGATTATGAGGATAAAAATCTAACAGAAACATTTGTGTGTCTTGGTGGAAAAAATACCCTGAGCAATACTTCCATGAACCATTGCTCCTTCAGTAATTCTAAAAACAAACAAGAACCAAGCACCAATTTTTTTAAAAGATGTATTTATTTTGAGAGAGAGAGAGAGTGCATGCACACTTGGAGGTTGGGTGAGGGGAGGGGCAGAGGGAGAGAGAGAGAATCTCAGAGCAGACTCCCCACTGAGCACGGAGCCCCATGTCAGCTGGATCTCTCAACCGTGAGGTAATGACCTGAGCCAAAATCAAGAGTATGAAGTTTAACTGACTGAGCCACCCATACACCTGAAACAAGCACCAATTTTTAAAGAAAAATCAAATTGCTTTGCATTATCAAAGAGGGATCTTGGCTGGGATCAGTGCAACAAAAAGCAAAATCAAACCAAAATTTGAAACAATGTAGAAATTTGATTCATGGCCAATTTTATGAATTGACCATGGAAGAGGAAGTTCATAAAATAACAGAAAATTAAATTATGGGGTGCATGGGTGGCTCAGTCGGTTAAGGATCTGCCTTCAGCTCAGGTCATGATCCCAGGGTCCTGGGATGAAGCCCCGCATTGTCGGGCTCCCCGCTCAACACAGGAGTCTGCTTCTCCCCTCTCCCGCTGCCCCTCCCCCCACTCATGTGCTTGCTCTCTAATAATTAAATAAAATCTTTAAAAAAATTAAATTAGGTAGAGACCTATCTTTTAGGTATGGATTTTTTCTTTCTTTCTTTCTTTTTTTTTTTTTTTGGTCTAAGAGAGATAGCAGTGTTAACAAAAACAAACAAAGCCCCACTAAGCAACAATGCCAAATAATACATTTTTAAGTGTTAAAAAGAACACAGTTGAATTGGTTGAAACTTGACTCTACACAGACTTTAATAATTCAGTCATGTTTAATTGTGCTGGTCACTGTATTTATAAAGATAAAAGTGATGAAGTTACATTAATTTGCATAGACTTTGTAAAATAAGAAAATGTTAACAAGGAAAGGAAAAAGCCTAATATGTGGCACTGTACTGGGCACTAGGGATACAAAAATAAGATAGACACAGTCCCTGCAGTCAACTAGCAGTAGGACATGTAGTGGTGGGGGGAGACATATGGCCAGAACATTTAAGAAAACTTGGTTAAGTAGATGCTATGGAACACACAAAAGGACATCCAATCTGGAAGGTGGCAGAAGACACTGAGAGATAGGGAGGTCAAGATTGAAGAGGCTCAGGAAATGCTCTTGGGGGAAATGACATTTGTTCCAAGCCAGAGGAGGTGAGAAAGGATATTGAAGCAGCAAGAACAGCATGAACACAAATACCAACATGTCAACAAAGGGGAGGCTACAATGGTGCAAAGAGTATCTCCTGTGGTAAAGGTGCCCCCAACTAAATTTTCAGATTTCATGAGGAAAAACATCCCCAAAGTAGGACTAATGAGTTTGAGTCATGTCTCTACCACTTACTAGCTTATTTATGTGATCTGGAGGAAGTTACCTTTCCTGTGCCTCAATTTCTCATCTCTAAAATAAGGAAAATTGAAGTTCCTATATTATAGGATATTGGGAGGATTCATTAAAATATGTAAAATTGCAGGGCATACACAAAATGCTATAAAATTACTGCAAAATTGTTCTCTAAAAGGGTAGCTCTATATTGTTAGAAGTAATGTATAAAGTTACAATATCACTTAAAAAAATCTTTATTTCTTCAATAGCAACAAATTGTATGTTTCAATTCAAGTTTCTTTGAAGAAAGAACAAACTGGATATTTTCCATCCTCATAAACTGTCTCTGTTCTACTCATATGTATCTAATGGGAACTTTGTTTTTTCTAATTGAATTGCAGAGGATATAGATGTAGTGAAAATATGGACCTTTTGTCCATCATGTTGGCTACTAATACATTTCCCATATTGCTGTTTGACTTCTCATAGTGTTTTTTTTTTTTTTTTAGTTAAAGGGAAGGTATTTGTCAAACCTAAACATATTTTTCCTCAGTGATTTATTATTCTTAAACTAAAAAAGGCCTTTTTTACCCTTAAAAAGATACATATTCATCAATGTTTTCTTATAATTAAAAAAAAGGTTAAACCCTATAATGCATCTGAAGGTTTTACAATTAAGTATAAAGATCTAAAGGGATTTTTTTCTAAATGTTATACCAATTTTCCAAACAGAACTTACTGAATAATTCATCCCTTTTCTTTCAGCTCCTTTAAAGGTCTATGTGATGACACAAATTCCAATAAAACATTATTGGTAATTGGCTCTTTGGTTCCAATTCTCTGCCCAGAAGCCTCTTCTCAAACTTGGACAGGCAGGCCAAAGTTCTTATTTCTTGGTGGTGGGAAAAGGTCCAGATAGTAATTAGAAAGTTGTTGGTGGACTGAATGTTTGTGTCCCCCTAAAATTCCTGTGCTGAAGCCCTAACCCCCATGTGACTTTATTTGGACACAGGGCCTGTGAGGAAGTGCTAAATGTTAGAGGAGGTCACAATGGGTGGGGCCCTAACCTGATAGGGCTGGCACCCCTTATAAGAGGAAGAGATACCAGAGTTTGCTGTCTCTGCCCTGTAAGAAAACAATGAGAAGGTGGCCATCTGCAAGGTAGGAAGTGGGCCCTCACTAGTATCCAAATTGGCCAGGACCTTGATCTTAGATTTCCCAGCCTCTAGAACTTTGAGAAAATAAATTTCTATTGTTTAAGCCACCCAGTTTATGGTATATTGTTACAGCAGCCAGAGCAGACTAAAACAAGGATCATTTGATACTTTCCTATTTCAATGTAAGGTTCAGGTTTTGTTTGTAATAATCTATTTCCCACAAGTCTCATAAATGAAAATAGTTTTCTCCTGTTTTTCATAGGTAATTGGAAGATAACTGAAAAGATGGAGTTTTTAAAAATTAACAATAACCTGACCCTGAATTTCACAGCATTATTATATGGTTTTAATAAACCAGAATCTGTTTCTATTCTATCTGCTATGGGCTGAGTTGTGTCCCCTCCCTTCCTCCTCCCAAATTCATATGCTGAAGTCCTAACCCCCAGGACTCAGATGTGACTCTGTTTAGAGACAGGACTTTTAAAAGAGGTAATTAAGGAAAAAAAAATACTAATAATAAAAAATAAATAAAAGAGGTAATTAAGGTAAAATGAGATCATATGGGTAGCCATAATCCAATATGACTGGTCTTATAAGAAGACATTAGGATACAAACAGGTACAGAGGGAAGACCATGTGAAGACACAGGAGGATGGCCATCTACAAACCAAGGAGAGAGGACTCGGAAGAAACTAACCTTGCCAACATCTTGATCTTGGACTCAGCAAGGCATGTGCTAAGGCTGCAAACTTTCCCAATTTCATTTTATTCCAGGGTTTCTTTCTAGTGTAAAATCTCTTATGTTGAAAAAGGTGAGAATTCTGGTTAAACTGTTATTGCCTTATAGTCATAGTCTTCTGCTATCCTTCATATAGGTTCTGAATATTTCTTATCAAGGATATTGTCAGATGTTTTATGGTCTGGGCTGAAACTGGGAGCATAGTCATTTAAAAACCCTATTTTTGAACTGGTTTTTGCTGGTGTTTTGTTTTGTTTTTTTTCCTTAAATAGGCATTTATTCCATTACTACATCCAACCATTTCCTAATTCTTTATTAATATAATTTTTCAGTTGATCTCTGGAAAATTCTGCATATCAAATTATAAAAGCTAAAAATTATAATAATTTTATCTCTTCCTATCTAAAACCTACAACTCTTATGTCTGTTTCAAATTTTATTGCTTGACTGAAACTTTCAAAAATATTAAATTTTAATGGTGGCAGCTGTAATCTCTGGTTTTGTTGTTGTTGTTGTTGTTCTTTGTTTTTCTCCCCCCAGGAATAGGAATGCCTCTAATGTTTCATCACTAAGTATTAGGCCAGTTTAAGATGAATAGAAGTGTTCTTCTGTTTAAAAAAAAAAAAAAAAAGGGAGGGCGCCTGAGTGGCTCAGACGGTTAAGCGTCTGCCTTCGGCTCAGGTCATGATCCCAGGGCCCTGGGATCGAGTCCCGCATCGGGCTGGGAGCCTGCTTCTCCCTCTGCTTCTCTCTCTCTCTCTCTGTCTCTCATGAATAAATAGATAAAATCTTTTAAAAAATTTTTAAAAAAAGGGAACATAAATTGAATTTTATCAAAACATTTTTTAGCATTTACTGAGATGAGTTAGAAAACCATTTGATCTGTTAATATATTAGTCAATAGCCAAGGGGCTTGTGGATAGTAACCAGCCTATAAATGAAAAGATTCAAAAGAGCGCAAAGGAGAGGTCCCGGATGGAGATGTAAATTTTTGTGTTGTCAGTATACAGCTGGGATTTAGTAGCCTATGATCAGAGGAGATCACCTAAGTAGTGGGTGCATGAGTTCAAGAGAGAACTCATGCCTGTGCTGGGCAAATCCAGCCCATTTCTAACCCTAGATGAGCAAATGTCCCAGAGCCTCAGTAAATCAAGTTTCTCTTCTCTAGATGAAAAAATATTGAGAAGCAAACAAGCATAAGAGGTAGAACAAATAGAGGCTAAGAGTGTGAGCTTTGATGCCAGGATGCCTAGATTCAAATGCAGGTCACTCACCACCTTCTGTAGCCTTGAGAGAGATATTTAAGTCTCAGCGTTTCATCTATAAATTGGGGTAATAATATCTTTTTCAAAGGGTAGTTTCAGTTTTTAAAATACACTTAAAGCTCTACACAAATACTGATTCTTCTCATTTTTTAAAAAAGTGACCTGAACATCCTTTCCTATTCTTTGTCTTGTCACTGAGCTTTAAGAACTTCAAATTTAATCAAAACATAAACCACTTTTGTGTTCACTTCAGCAGCACATACACTAAAATATAAAACACTTTTTCTGCATATAGTTTCCTATGAACCCTAAAGAGCTTCAAGAGGCCACTGGGGGAATGTGAAGTCCTCTGAAGTTGTATTTGCCATTTAGCCTAAAAATTAACAGAGTTACAAGCCAGATAGACTAAACAAGTCTCTCTCTGTCACTCTCTGATGAATAAATAGTCTCTCTGTCGAATAAATAAATAAAATCTTTAAAAAAAAAGAGTAGAAATAGAAACCACTCTTGAAGAGTTCTGCCGTACATAGAGCAGTGAAAGATGACAGTAGAAGAGGAAATGTGGGGCCAAAGGGGCTTTGTCATTTGTTTTTTCAACAAAATAAATTCAGCCCATTTGTATGCTGTTGCGAATGATCCAGTGGACAAGGGAAACAGTGCAAAAGAGAGGACAAATGCTGGAGTGATGTCCTTGGTAGACAGAGTAGTTAGGACCTATTATATAAGTGGAGGAGTCACCTTAGATAAGAACATGCAGAAGAACAGGAGGGAAGGGAGAGGATGTGCAAAGATGCAGGCAGGTGGGTAGCTTTCTCGGTAGAAACGTGGAAATCTTCTGATTGCTTCTCTTTGAAAGTAAGCTCATTAGCTGTTAATGAGATGGGGAGAAGGGTGATGGAGATTTGGGGACAGTGGTAAGTATGAAAGAATCATCTAAACAAATGTACCCAGAGTTGCCACTTGTGCACATGTGTCTTTTATAATATGAAAAAGTAATAAATTGGGTGCCGGGGTGGCTTAGTCGGTTAAGCATCTGCCTTTAGCTCAGGTCGTGATCCCAGGGCCCTGGGGTCAAGTCCCACATCGGGCTCCCTGCTCCGCGGGAAGTCTGCTTCTCCCTCTCCCTCTGCCTGCTGCTCCCCCTGCTTGTGCTCTCTCTCTCAAATAAATAAATAAAATCTTTAAAAAAGTAATAAATTTATTTTAGAACACCTTTAATATTGCCCTATTGGCTTCAGGATCAATACAAACTAATTAGCATCATATCAAAGACTATTCTTCATTTGTCTTCTTCATAAACCTTAATCTCATCTCCTGTCATATTCTCAGGACAATCTATATTCCATCTTTATCAATTACAAAAGAGTTCTCCTCAAATGGCATTATGTTTAATGCTCCCTGTGACAGACTGTATTTTCCAAAGATGACTGAAATATATATATCCCATCCCCTACATTCTTCTGTACTGTGAACTTGATAAGTAGAGTTTCCTTCTACATCCCCTTGAAACTGTGACTGTTTTGACCAATAGAATGTAGTGGAATTGACATTGTACCAGTTCTGGGAGTAGCCCTTAACTGGCCTGGCAGTTTCTGTCACTGGTGCCTTTTGGAATGCTTGCTGTTGGGATACATCTTCTTGGAACCCAGGCACCATGCTGTGAGAAGCAAAAGCTACAAGAGCTGTGAGTAGGTATTTCTGAGAGGCAGTACCCCGCTGGACTCCCAGCTAACAGCCAGTATCAGACGCTGGCCATGTGAGTGAGTCATCTGGGAATGTCCAGCCCAGACGAACCTTCAGATAACTGAGCTCCACACATCTGACTGTAATCACATGAGACCCCAATTACTAACTTCCCAGGTGAACCCAGTCGATCCACAAAATTGTGAGATAACTTGCTAATTCAAGCCCCTAAGTTATTAGGTGGTTTGCTATGGAGCAATAAATAACCAGAATTGTTCAGTGCTGATGTGGTAGATAGCAGTTGTCATAGCAATAGTGGTACCGGTGGATAGATGATCTAGGAAGAAATGATATGCTATATAATGTTAGCAAGTTATTTAGATTCCTAAATTCCATTTTTCCATAAATGGGGATAATTATAAGCACCTCACCTGATATAGTTCCTGGCTTTATTAAAGAAGGGGTATATGTTTCTGACCCCTTCACCTTAGGGTTTAGCTTTGGCCCATGGAGGAAATAACTTTCTTGTCCATCATTTTACCTTTTCTTTTTGTACGCACATACCAGTGCCTCCCCATGAGATTTAGTGATAATACGATTTGTTGGGCTTACATTTTACTAATGGGTATGGTTATTGAATTGCATGCGTATCTGTGAGTGTGACCTACATATCTGTGCATGTGATCTGTTTTGTCTGTAACTGGATAGATGAGAAAATTCCAGCTAGCCTTGCCAGTTCAACTACTTGGTAAGTGCAATCACAAGTCTCCCCCGACAAAGCCAGTTATATATATCCCAGATATAGATGTGGAGACATAGGAAGCTACTTCAGCCTTAGGACAAAGTAGTATTCTCCAATCAAGCTTTAAAAGAGCCTTGGGTACTTTAGAAAAGTAGCATTTTATTTATCATATGGTTATTAATTCTGTTTGTTCATGGCTTCCACAATAGAAGAAGAGAAAATTATAAATGGGTTTAAGAACCAAAGTCCAGGGGTACCTGGGTGGCTCAGTCAGTTAAGCCTCTGCCTTTAGTTCAGGTCGTGATCCCGGGGCCCTGGGATGGAGCCTCACATCCGACTCCCTGCTCAGTGGGGAGGCTGCTTCTCCCTCTCCTCCCCATTCGTGCTCTCT